CCACAGGGCACATCGAGGGCATCTACCCCCACAGGTAATGCAGGTCGCTGGGCTGCTCCCAGCTCCCTGTTTCTCCAGCCCTTGTCCCGCTTGTCCATGGGGAGGGATACACGCAGGTGAAGAGGCAGTGCTGCTGCTTGCTGCTTGATCCCATTGCCTGGAGTTGATCCATGCAATTCACAGCACAGAGAGCTTGGGAGGTCATTTATCCCTGATTTTCTATGCCAGACAAGCAGGATGTATTTTTCACTCTGGATTTTTAGGGGGAAATTAGTAATATTAGTGCCTGTGTCCACATCACCTCATGCGCTTCCTGTGTTCGAGCTGGACATCACCTTTCTCGGCACCTCAGTGGATACTTTTGACCCTTACCATGACTTTTTAAGAGAAAAATGATATTTAGATACCACCAAGGCTTGATATCAAGTGCATTGTGCTCATTTCCTAGCGGAAATGCCAGCAAGGGTTAGGGTTAGGGTTTCTGGTGCCATTTTCCTGCAGGGATGGAGCAGCCCCATCCCACCCTGCCCAGGGACAGCTCCCTTGTGCCACATTCCTGCAGGATTCCGGCTGTGCCACTTAGCAGATGCACACCCTCAGGTATGAAGGAAACATAGCACAGATCACTGGATTTGTCCTCGCTGTCATCAGGCTTGTTTGGGAATGTGCCCACTTCCAGTTTGTGTCTGTGTGGTGTTTCCAGCTGGGGCTGTTCGCACAGCTGCTTGTGCAGCTCTGGATGGAGCCCAGGTCCATTTCTCCAGGAGTTTGGCCAATTAGTTTTCAGCTGGGGAGGGAAGATAAAAAAAAAAAAAAGGAAAAAAGAAGTGTGTATTTGTTTGGAGACATAACATAATTCCTGCGACATTCACTGTACACTTCCAGAGGTACCTGCGGGGATCAGGGGCTGACAGGAAGTCAGGCTGCTGCTGGCAGTGTCCCAGTCCAAACAGGAATGGGAAAACTGGTCAACTAGTAAGAGAGACTTTTATTTTTCTTCTTTCTCTCCTATTTCTTAATTTTTCCCCCATTTTTCCCTCCTTTTTGGCAGTACACTGAGTTCCCAGCAGCAGGTTAAGGAGCCGAGTGGGTGCCACTGCTCCAAGCACATCTTCCACCCGGTGTGCTGGGAAAACAAGGTGGAGTACATCTCACCCTGCTTCGCTGGCTGCACCAGCAGCACCATCAATTCCTCCAACCCCAACCAAGTGGTGAGTAAAGCACATAGTTTGCAAAGCAGACTGAACCTTTGCTCGCTGGGGACAGGGGAGTGACGCTGCAGGAACCTGACAGATGCAACAAGGGGTGGAACCTTTTTGGCACTGTGTGCTGGGAAGTCTACCAGGGAGCTGGAGTCCTGGGAAGGTGCCACGGACAATTCCTGGGAGTCTGCTTGGAGAAACAGGGATGATGGCACATCCCACTGCAGGATGCCATGGCTGTGGCCTTAAAATTGGAGCTGATGCTCTCATTGGTCTCCTGCAAAGGGCTGCGATCCGATGCGTCACTAAAATCCCTGCTCTTGGCTTTAGGAGTCTTATGTCTGTTCTGTTCCAAATGTTTTCAACAGATCTACAAGAACTGTTCCCAGATCCCTCCTGGGAAGGAGCTGTACTCAGGCTCCTGTCCGCTCAGCTGCTCTGACATGCTCTTTCCTGCCATATTCCTCATCTCCTTCGCTGCCCTGGTCGCCTGCCTGTCCCACAACCCCCTCTACATGATGGTGTTACGGTGAGCACTGGGTGTGGGTGGGGGCACACAGGAGTCACAGGGGGGAGTGTGATGTTATGGTTCCCCATGTTGGGATCCATGGGATGGTCATAAATGTGCAACCAAGTCTTGACCAAACCCAGAGCCAGTACCACCACTCTGACCTCCCATGGCTTCTCCCCTGCAGGGTGGTGAACCAGGACGAGAAGTCGTTTGCCATCGGCGTCCAGTTCTTACTAATGAGGCTGCTGGGTGAGTGTCCATCTCCTAATGAGACTGAGGGGAGCAGTGAAGGTTTGCTGGAGCCCCAGGAGGTGTTGAACCTCGTCAGGGACAGCAGCCTGACTCCGTCCTCTCTTCTCCCAAGCCTGGCTGCCAGCCCCAGCCATGTTCGGAGCGCTCATCGACTCGTCCTGCATCTACTGGCAGCAGCAGTGCACCCAGCGCCGGTTCTGCGCCTACTACAACAACAACTTCCTCCGCAACAGGTACCCCTGGCACCTGTGCCCTGTCCCCCCTGGCGGCCTTGGGCACAGGGATGGTCCCCAGCTCAGCTTGGGGCCAGCTGGAGGTGCCACATCCGGACATGGCATCTCCCTGCTCTTCTCCCGGCAGATACCTGGGGCTGCAGGTGGGCTACAAGGTGGTGGGCACTGTCCTGCTCGCCCTCATCAGCTGGAAGGTGAAGAGGAGCAAGGAGTACAACGTGCAGGAGAAGGCAGCGGGGCTGGTGTAGCCCAGGGACTGACTCCACACCCCACCATGCACTGCCAGTTCTTTGTCTCATCTGGGTTCGTTTTACCTTCTTTCAGGAGCAACTTCACCTCAGCAGCTCTGAGCTCCTCTCCTGCAGCCCAGGGCACCGCCGTGCTCCCGGCGAGGTGCCAGCCTTGTCCTGGGAATGGCTTCCCCCGGGCTCTCCAGCTGCACTTGCCCATCACCCTGGGGAGGGGGCAGCCCCCCAGCAGCTGGACCAGGAGGTAGAAAGAGGTTGGAACTCGTGGACCCAGAGAAGTGCCTGCTGTGGGCGATGGTCCCTGTTCCGGCTTGACATTTCCAGCCAGGTAGTGCCTTCCTGGCTGGGACAGGAGCAGGGACGTGGCTGCCAGCCCTGAGGGACTGCCTGGTGTCCCCCCACCCCTCGCAGAGGTCAGCATGGACACCGCACACGAGTTGTGACAAGTATATCACAAGGGGTTTGTTGCAGAACATTTGCGGTTTGTTGCTCTTTTTATTTTTTAAATAAAGGTCACTTTTCCAACTGTGGTGGTTCCCTGGTCTCCCCCCACCTCCTGAGCTGACTCCAACAGCCAGGCAAGGCAGGGGGGATGCTGTGCTGAATCAGAGAATATTCTGGATCATCGAGTCCAACAGAAACGGGGCTGCAAGCAGCAGCAATTTTTGACCTGAGGCTCTCCCCCCACTTTGATACATTTCTTGGCACAGACAATTCTGGTCTTTGCTTGCTCGAGCTGGTGCCTCAAAAGTGGGACCATGAACAAAGAAATCCCTGGGCAATTATTCCCTTACAACCTTCATTCCCCCTCCCTCACACGACAGTCCTGACCAACAGCCATATCAGGGGCTGGGGTCCTTCCCACTCCTCCTGGCTTCACTGTTACGGTACCAAACTGTTGCTTCAGCCCCTGAGGTGGGTTTTGGTGAGGGTTCAGTGTGTTCTGTTACTCCACGCTGTGACAGGGTTGTTACAGTTCACAGACCAGGATCTATGGGCTGTTTGCTCCAGCTATCAATTTTTAAGTAATATTTAAGCTGCAGCTTTGTCTATTCTAACTATTAGTAACGATTTTTACTATTATTAATGATCAGATTCCCCAAGTTCCCCTCTGATCCATCTCTGACTGACACAGCACAGCCATGTGGTTCAGTTAAAGTTCAACCTGTGGCCCAACAATTGCAGCTACTTATGTCAAGCACTGAAGCTACTTTTAAATCATATAAATTCTACACTGGAGAGGGCTCTGGGCAGGGTACAATGGGCTTTGGGCTTTCTTTTAGGAGTTTTCTTGGGTAACTGTACTCAGCTCCTGTCCTTATCCCATTGCTATGAGAGGCAAGGCATTGTTCTTTTCCCTGTGCTCTTGGCCCTGCTGCATCTGTGCTCACAAAGGGAGTCAAGTGAAAGGGCAGGAGAGGTGGATTTGCTCTGGATCAGCAAGTCTCTATGAAATTGAGGTCTGTCCATGCCCCCCCTCCACCTGGCAGATTTTCCCTAAACACCCTTGGAAAACATCATCATCAGGATGATGTCCAGGCATTATTATTTTTGCTTTTCTTTGCCTTTCAGCAACCTCTCCTCCACTGTCAGTTGGTTTCTGCTATCCCAGATCTCACTGTGCTCATCGATCTCCTCCAAAAATATCTACCTTTTCCAGGGGGACAATCTGGAGCACAACCCATAGCAAAAAACATTGACCAAAAGAGCTTTAGAACACAGTGAGAGCCTCAATCCCTGCAGACGTGTGAACACAGTTGGAGCAGAAGGGACTGAGTTTATCCCACTGTCCTGCCAAAGCCATCCCAACACACCACTGCCAAGCTGCAGTGGCTGAGGAGCACCATGTCCGGCCAGCACAAAGCCACTGACTAGGAACAAGGGCAGAAGAGCAAAGAACAAAGCACAAAGCTGACTGAGGGGAAAAAAACTCCAAGAACACAACACTCAAGAGTTTCCAGTTCTGCCCTTCTCCCTCTCCTTCAGCCTCTGGGGAAAAACAGCCCCGAATATTTGACAGGCAGGTCATGGAGTGAGGCCCAAAGAACACAGGGAGCTCTGCAACAGCTCCAGCATGGGCAGTTCTGGGAGCAGCTCCAGCTCAGCCACACAGCCCTGCAGGGAAAGTTGAGCCATCTCACCCAGCTGTGAAGCCATGGGGTGCCACAGTCACCTCCATGGCACAGCAGTGGTGCTCTGTCACCTAAACCACCACGCCCTGCAGCTGGCTGGGCTTTTCCCCGTGCGTGTCAGCAAAGAGTCTCCCTTTAAAGTTTTTCAGTCATTTTTTTGCTATGTGATTGTCAATTTATCAATGAATTTCCCAATTCTCTAACATTCAGACTAAGGTGCATACACACACCCAGAAACACCCAACCCCAAAGCCCTGTGTGTGCAGAAGAGGATGCTTTTTGACAACACAGACCTGGCCACGGAGGAGGAAGGTTGATCCCAAACATGCTGAGCAGGAGCAGAGCCCCATCCAATTGGATCTGACACCACCGAGAAGGGCCAAGGCAAATACACAGACTAAAGCAAGACTTGAGAACAAACCTTAAGCAAAAAAAAAAATTTATTTCAGGAATACTTTTAAAAATAATAACTTAAAACCAACCGTGGTCTCATTGGTACCTTTCCATCCCCCTTGCACAGAGGCTGGTGCTTGGCCTCTACTTTTCAAGGAGATGCATCTTCACAAGAACAACCACCCAAAAACCCAGCAATTTTTTGCCCAAAACCATGGGCACCATGGATTTGAAGCAGGCAGCCTTGGATCTTCAGCTAAAGGAGCTCAAAGCATGACAAACATGTTCTGACAAGACTCTGGCTGCAGGAAATAGAAGAATATAATATCCTTGGTAAATATAACCCTCCCCACCTCCTGTATGGATAGTGGAAGAGCTACTGGGTTCCTGAGACTAGAAATACAAGGATCAGCTTTGTTATGGGCACAGGGCTTTGGGAAGGCTGTTCCTGCTCTTCCCAACACTTGGTAATGCTACAGGGAAACAGGGAAAGCCCCAAAGAAAAGAACACAACAGATGAGCTGAGCGATGGAGGAAGCACCAAACTGGAGAGGAGGGGTCTCCAAAGGACAAAAAGAGTCTGCCAGGAGCCAGCCACTCCCTCAACTCTAAAACAAGAGAAAGCCACAAAAAAAAAAGGGAAAAATATTCCTGCAGTAGGACACTGCAATGTGCAATGAAACACAACCTGGGAAAATCTCCCATTTCTTTCCCCTCTTCCTTAAGTACCTTCCTCAGGAGGAGGAAGCACACCCATGTGCTGGCAGGTCCTTGATTTTCCCTCTCACTTTGCCACAACTGGTGATTAATTACACATCAAATAAGACCTTCCTGCAGCCATTGGAGCAGGAGGCAGCAGGGGACTGCAGGACAAATGCCTGACGTGGGCAGAGCTTACACAGGATGCAGGTTATGGATCTAAAATCATGCTCACCCCACAGTTTCAAGACACAGCCCTCAGCTAAAGAACAACTCCCAAGAGCTGACCAAGAGAGGAAATCACCAAGGACATGGGCACAGGGACTAAAGCAGAGCAGCCAGCCTGGTTTGGGCACTCCACAGACCCCTCCAGCCCCACAGAAATGGGGCTGCACCAGTTTGGAAGAATGGAAAGGTAGAGACAAAGAGGAAAACAGCCTTTTATACTCTCCTCAATGCTTGCCCAACTGAGGGAGCCTGTGCATCAGCAGTGGGAGGCTGGGGACAGCAGCCCCAGCCAGGAGGTGATCAGTGGCTCTGAGAGGCAGCGGGGTTGCAATGCTAAATCAAGGCAGAAGAAAGCACAGATTTCAGTCTCTAAAACCCACCTAGCACACTCCTTCCTAATTTGCTTGGCAACTACCAAATGAAAAGCCTAAAGATTAAGGAGAAACAGAAGTCCAGAGGGTCAGCTTCCCAGAGGAGGACAAAGAGGGGAGAGGATAAAAACACTGCAGTGTGAAGAGAGAGAGGAAATCACATCAGCAATTGTCATGTCACTCCCAAGCCCATGAGCAGCAGAGGAAGACACCATAGTCCTCAATTCCAGCTTCAGGTTCCTCTTTCTACAGCCAGATGAGATTTAAGTGCTCCAGACTATCTTCTTCTCTTCAGCCCCCAAGTGTCCTGCCCCCCAAGCCCCGCCCTTCCCTGTTCAGGCGACCTTCACCAGCCATTTCTCCAGGCCCTCCAAGTCAGCATCTCCCTCCTCCCCCTTGCTGCCCCGAGCACTGCACTCCACGAATTCCACCTTCATAGGCAGCTGGGAGAAGTCGAAGTCCTTGCCCTTCTTGCCCAGCTGGGCAGGACCCCCTGAGCTGTCCAGGCTGGTGGGGGCTGCAGAGCGGGTCACCCGTAAGGTATTGCTGCAGAGAGAGAGGGGAGAGGGTCAGGAACTGGGAACCAGGGGAATACTGTGGCTGCTGAGATGCTTGGGATGCAGCTCTGCCAGCAGGATGCAGCCACACCAAGGACAGAAGGCCCAGGGCTCTGCCCTGGGAGGCACAGGCAGGAGCTTTGGCCACTACTGGAAGTCACAAGTGCAGAGGCTCAAGAGAGCAAGACAGGCAGGAGGGCACTCAAGGAGAGGTGCTTGAGCAGGTTTGGTTTTGCAATAAACAGCAGCACGAGTCAGGTGATGATGTCCTCAGCTCAATTTCCCCACTGATCACAGGAATTACACAAGATTTAGCCTACAGTCCTCAGGGTCTGTGCCAGTTTAACAGGTTAACTGGGAAGGGAGAGGCACCCATGGCATCAGGGATGAGCAGGATCCCTGACACAGCGCCTGGGTGTGCCAATCTGGGGATTGAGAGGGGGATCGAGTGCCCCCACTGCTCCCATATATTCCTTATTCACAGAATGGAGCTAAATTAAAGGGGCAAAGGGAAATAACACACCCAGAGTTCAGGAATAAGTGAGCAGACACTTCCTTGTGTTCTCCACTCATAGACATCTGAGTATGGCAGCTGCCAGGGAAGGATGGCAGCAACCTGCCAGCCTGCAGGAATAACAGTGGTAACAGGGCACATGTGACCTGCCTAGAAACCCAACATCTGCACACAGGCAACTGGAAAATGCTCAACACCAGAACCAAGCAATGCTTATTTCCCTGCAGAACGTGAATATGTGGCAACTAATTCCTGCCTTAAAAACAGGAAGGTTGGATATTCAGCCTGGGAGGGAAACCAGCACAAATATCCCTGCTGCCATCTGCTGGCCAAAGGGGTTATTGGATCACGGAATCATTCAGGTTGGAAAAGCCCTCTAAGATCATCGAGCCCAACTGTAAACCCAGCACTGCTGAGCCCCCAGACAAAAGAGACTGCTTTTTTGCCACCTGAACTCAGACATGGCTCAAGGGAGCTCACCAAGCACTGAGGTAAGAGAAAAGACAAGAGGAGAAGCTCAGAGGGATTGAGATCCCATTCCATACTTACAGCTCTTTCTCCAGCTGCTGTTGAATAAGTTTTGCTGATTTTGCCATTGTGACATCTAGAGAGAGAAAAGAAAAGGAAATCAGCTCTTTGGCTTTCTGTCAGAATTCAGAATGCTGGCTCCCCCTCCTAAAGCAAGGCCAGCTCATGCTGTGCAGTCACCAGAGCTATCGGGACAAGGACAGCTGTGCCTGTGTGGGATAAGGGATGTTGGAGCTTTGGGATCGCAGACAATGGGAACAACAAAACAGCCTGATACAACACAGGGATTTAATTCCTTCTTGCTGGGCAGGGAGCTGCTTCAGAGGACGGGGTTTGATGCCTCAGCACTCCCACCTGTCCTGGCACTACAGAGCTCCACACAGCGCCTTTCACGCAGGGCATGTGGAGCCACGAAGGCCTCAGGCAGCTCCTGAATTAGTGCACAAAACAGCTACAAAACCCAGACCTGATGCTGCCCAAAAACTTCAGATTGTTACAGGGGGATCCACACTTCCACTGTAAAAACTGTGCGGATCTGAAAATCGAGTCCTTTTCAGTAACTGGGTGTTCCTGCTAGTCCAAACAACTCTTGGCAGCTAAATGACTGGTTTCAACATTGAAGCTGCTGAGAGTGTAGGAATAGTTCATTATGCTCAAGCTGATCCTATTTCCTGCTGCCTGGAGACTGAGGAACAGCTCTGCTCAAGCAGAAAGCACCTGCCTTACTTAAGCCCACACGAAGAGCTGTAGGTCTCTCAAGTGATGCTAAAAACGCTCCTGCTGAGTAGTCTGAGTTTAAATCTAAATTCCAGCCTTCACTTCGCTGAAATCCCAGCTCCTACAGAGTTCAGCACCCATGGCATGAATCCCATTCCCTGTGGGGCTGGATGCCAGGCCCAGGCCAGGGCACCTTGCTTGTTGCAGGCGATGAGCAGCGCGGGCGCGTTCTTGAGGACGGTGCCATCGACCAGGACCTGGTACAGGAACTCTGCCACGTCCTTCACCTCCCGCTGGAAGGCCACACTGTCCACCACAAACACAATGGCTCTGGGGAGAGAGGGAAGAAATGTGCTGGGGCTGCAGCTCTGTATCCATCTTCCCCTGCAAGAATTCCAGCCTGGGCTGATATATTTGTTTCCGTGTCTGATCTTGTCCAACCCAAGTGTAGGGCAGCAGCATTTCCTGGCTGAAACACCCCATGTCCAGCCCCAGCAGGAATTCCTTCCTTCTCTGCCCCAGGGATATTCCACATCCCCCAACCCTCCCCACTGCAGCTGGCGCACTACAAGCACAGCAAAGTAAGGAATTCATGGTGTGATTTTTGGGATTGTCCTGTGCAGGGTCAGGAGTTGGACTCGATCCTTGTGAGGCCCTCCCAACTCAATATATTCCATAAAAGCAAAGCAAAAACTACCCTCCATTACCCCACAGCAGAGCTCTGACTGTCAGGGCACCACCAGCACAGCTCACAGCATTCCCAGCACCAGCACTTGGTTTATCCCTTTCCAAAACATCCCCTGCCCCCTGGTGCCCTGCCAATCTCCTCCCCGTTACCTGGCTGCAGCCTTGAACCTCTCCAAGAACTGGAGCCTCAAACTCTCATGGCCTGGAAGGTCGATCAAGGTCACATTGGTGCCCTGGGAACAGAAACAAGGTGTTACCCCCATCTGATCTGGGGGTGCCTGTGATCACGGACTGGGGAAAACCTGGATTTGTGTCCTGCAAATATAGAATATAAACCCTCTGAACCAAGTTACCTACTCCCACACTGCAGGTCTCCCTAAGTACACCAAACTTCGCTGGGAATAACACAGAAGTGCCTTTGCAAGGGACTTTTTTTTTTCACCTGAAAGCTGCAAATGTTTCCCTTCCCACAGCCTGACAGCCAAAGCCAGGGCATGAAAGAGAAGGAATGGCCTAGCTAGGTCCACGTCACTGCTCTCCAGATAAGGCTCCTTGTTCTCCAGAGTGGAGGGAACACTACAGGAGACCTTCCTGCCCACTGCTCCTGGATTTTAATGGAAACCTTGTCTATCATTTTAAAAAAAAAAGAAATGCCTTGCAGCATTCCACTACCTCTCCCCCTCCAAATGCTTGTCTGCTCAATCTTAGAGACACAAAAATGAAAAAAAAAGCGCCCTTTACCAAGTTTTTAACCTCATTATCACCACTCTTAGTGAAGATTGACAAGAAGTCACACAAACACCCCCTACTTTCACGATTTCCCAGCAGTTAAGGTGCACCCAGCAAGAGAGACTTTTCCAGAATGAAAGAATTGCCGTAAGCTGAAAACAACCAGGTCTGTGGCAGTCTAGGACCTAAAAGCAACAAAATCCTTTCTGAGACCACATAAAGTGCAGCTGGAGACTCTGCTTAAGACTGATAAAGCTTTTAATTTCAAGTTTTTGTCAGAGAACCAGAAATTACTACCAAGAAAATAAGGCAACCATGACTGAACAATGCCCCTCAAAAATCTCCCTCATGCTGCCCCACCAGCTGTGGTGTTCAACCAGAAAGATTTCACCGTTTGAGGAGTAAAGTAAAAAGAACCTGCCCTAAATCCCAGCATTTCCCTACTTTCTTCACGTGCACTGCCTGGAAAAATCCTGTCCTGCACCCGGGGCAAATTGGGGACTGAGCAGCAGAAAAAGATCAACCCAGGTTTGGCACAGGGAGCAGGAGAAGGCAGGAGCAGCCCCAGACAATTCCAGCCTCACTGTGCACTCACCTTGTCCCGGCTGACCCGGTATGTGGCCGAGCTGTCGGTGATCGAGGTCTGGGTGTCCCGGTATCTGCCCGACAGCAGCTGTGGGGAACAGGCAGTTCTCACAAAAAGGAGCCTGAGAGGCTTAAAAAACACTCCAAGCAGTGTCCAGGCTTTGAATCACTGGCATCACCTTTAATCTGCTCAGAAACTGGGATGGTCTGTGAAGGGTAAAGGGCTCCAGAGACCCGATCTCAGTTTACATGCAGGAAATTACTGCAAGGGTCATTTCCCCCAATTAATTAAAAACTGTGCTCCTTGCATTTTCAGACTTTTCAGAATGTTCTGAGCTGCAAGGGACCCACAGAGATCATCCAGTACAACTCCTGGCCCTGAACAGACACTCCAACAATCCCACCATGTTCCTGAGAGTGTTGTCCTTGAGCTCTGTCAGCCTTGGGGCCATGACCACTGTCCTGGGGAGCCTGTTCAGTGCCCAGCCACCCTCTGGGGGAAGAGTCTTTCCCTTATACCCAACCTAAACCACCCCGACACAGCTCCAGCTCTTTCCTCGGGTCCTGTCCCCGTTTACACCGAGCAGAGATCGGAGCTGCCCCTCGGGGGGAAGCTGCAGACCTGGATGAGTTCAAGTACCCAAAAACCTTTTGCTGTGACAAATTCGAAACAAAACACCATTTCTTTTAACACTCCTTGGTAGACAAAACCCGGTCTCCATCCCTCTTTACATCTCTAAAATCACCTTTTTAAAGGTCTCAGTAAGAGAATAAAACCCGATCTAAAGAGAGCGCCTTCCCCTCTGTACGAGAGATGCCGGAGCCGGGCACCCCCTCCCCGCTCACCCGCGCGAAGAGCAGCGTCTTCCCCGCGTCGCAGAGGCCCAGCAGCAGCACGGCCTTCCTGCTGCTCCTCCTGCCCTGCACGAACCGCCAGATCACTGCGGGAGAGAGGAGGCGCAGGAGGAGGATGAGAAGGGGACGCCCGAGCCCGCGTCCGCCGGCACCGGCGCCCCCTCAGCGAGCGTGGCAGGCCCTGGGGCGGGGGGAGAGAGGGTTCCCGCAACTCACGGAAGGTGATGGCGACGGCGATGAGCGCGATGAGCACAGAGAGCGCGGCAGGGCCGCTCAGCTCCCCCCGCAGCGCCGCCAGGTCCGGCTCCAGCCCGTCCGCCATGGCCGCACACGTGGCCGCCACAGCACTTCCGCTTCCGGCCCCGCTGTAGGGCGGGAAGGGTGGGCGCGGGGTCTCATGGGGGTTGTAGTTCCCCCGGGAGACCTGGGCGGGCTGAGACTCGCCGGGGGACCCGGAATGTTGAACCCGGAAAAACACGGAATGATGGAATAGTTGGGGTGGGAAAAGCCCTCCAAGGTCATTGAGTCCAACCGTTCCCCCAGCACTGCCAAGGCCACCGCTATCCCATTTCCCCAGGTGCCACATCCACATGGCTTTTAAATCCCCCCAGGGATGGGGACTCCATCGCTGCCGTGGGCAGCTGTGCCAGGGCTGGACAACCCTTTCCAGGAAGGAATCTTCCCTTATTTCCAGTCTAAACCTCCTCTGGCACAGCCTGAGGCCGTTTCCCCTTGTCCTGTCCCTTGTTCCCTGGGAGCAGAGCCCGACCCCCCCGGCTCCCCCCTCCTGTCAGGGAGTTGCAGAGCCAGAAGGTCCCCCCTGAGCCTCCTTTTCTCCAGGCTGAGCCCCCCCAGCTGCTCCTGCTGCTCCAACCTCTTCCCAGCTCCGTTTCCTTCCCTGCACATGCTCCAGCCCCTTGGTCTCCTGCCCACCTGGGTACACCTGGGCTTGTGTCCAGCCTTTCCCAGCTTTCCAGCCTCTCTGCCCCAAACCTGGGCTGTTGTGACCCAAAAAGGTACAGCCCCATTTGAATCAGAGATCAGGAAGCAGAGCCAGGCTTTTCACGCTGGTGCAGGATGAAGAGCAATGGGAATGTGTTGAAACCAGAGAGGTTCAGAGTGGGTGTGAGAGGAATGTCCTCCCATTGAGGGCTGCCAGGCAGCGGGACAGCCTGCCCAGGGAGGTCGTGGAGGTCAAGCCCTGAGCAACCTGGTTGACTCCTGTCTTTGAGCAGGAGGTTGGACTGGAGAACCCCAGAGGTACCTTTCCACCAAAGGGATCCTCTAGTGAGCTTCCTTTTATCCATGCCTTTTACTTATTGCACAAAGGATTACACTTGATACAGAACACAAATAATTTCTCTTCTCTTAGGGATATATTTCTAAGTGAAGCCACAGTGAGCTGTAGAAGCAACTTAGAGGCATTGATTCTCTTTCTTTCCTAGCTTTGAAGAACAGGTTAAAAGAGCCACCTGCCCAGTGTACTTCATCCTACATAAATGTGAGGGACTACATGTCATCCTTTCCCATCACACCCTACATTTCTGTCATCCAAGGGGATCTTCAGTCAGGCTGGTGGACTTCTCACCACACATACCATATGCATCAAAATATTCATTCCCTCAAGGCCAGGAGCTCTCAGCACCTCTGTGCCCTCAACAACTCCTCTGTGTCTGCCATGACAACGGGGCTAGGATCTGCTGGATGACCCCAGATTGCTCCTCTGAAGCAGAGAGCCTCAGCAGACATATTTATCTCGCCTTTTTGTTTTCGCCATGGATCAGACTCAGAGAAAACAAACCTACATGTTTGTTTTCAGGTCAGCAGCACATCTGACAGACTTCCAAAACACACACTTTTCTAAGTCCTAGATTTTTTTCCAGAAAGGAATCCTAAGCCTGGACTCTCCCTGTCAATAAGTTTACGTGTTTTAAGAGTCCTGCCAGGTGGAAGTGACTCAGACCCAGCCAGCTGAGATATGAGACAGAGAAGTTCTATTCACACCTCCCATCTTACAACCACTGTATTACTTTGGTTTGGTTTTGGTTTTTTTTCCTCTTCTCCAGCCTTCAGCTTCCCTGACATAAACACTTTCCCTCTTCCTGTGTCCCAGCCACACTTGGGAACTGTCATCTGCTGGGGAGATAATAGGATAACCCGGGCAAAGAAAAAGCACAGAGAGTACAAAACACCTGTTAATTGGGCTCTAAGATGCATTGAATCCATTTTGCTTTGGCAAATGGTGAAAGTTTCTCTAATGGGCAGCAATAGATGTAAGTGACAATAACCACATTGGTATCTGTCCTACAGGAAGATGTGCTGAGGAAGAAATGGGCTTAAGGACCATTTTGAAAAATCTCAGGATGCCTGTTTAGATTAGAGATTTTATTTTTTGCTGTGATGGCAGCAGAGAACTGTAAAGTCTCAAGGAGCCACTTTCAGAGTGATGAGGGAGGGCAGAGAAAGCAGTGAAGGCAGAGAACCCTCAGTGTTCAGTGCTGAGGGCACAAGAGGAGTTGTAAATTGAGGTTTTCTCCCCCTCCAGCGATGAATCCTTCCCAGCCCACTACTTGTCCTCAAGGAAGGTGCACACCTGGAGAAGATCTGGAAAAAGAAAGGACAGGGAGAAGTTCAGATCCTGCCTTCAAACACTCTGGTCCCAACAGTAATGCCAACAATGTCATCACTTGGAAAATCCATGGTGTGCCACAAAAAAAAAGGGCAGTAACCACAGATCACTCTGGGCCTGCACTGATGGGTCCAGGTGGGTTCTTTGTGCCATTTTTCAAAGTGTGTATTTTCTAGAGGTGAGGAAAAATCTTTTATTCATGTTGCTGCCAAAACACCAGATTTTAAGTCTGTTCTCAGTTCACCCAAGGACCTTGGAGAAAAGTGTAGTGGCATCCTTCTAAGTTATCCTCATTTTACTTAAAAGGCATTAAATGGACAGTCCCAGAAGAAACTGCCTGTGAGGTAAGAACTGCAATTCAGAGAATTCCCCTTAGGCTGTTCCAGTTACCTGATGGATTGCAGGTGTTGAGGCTGGCAAGTGAAGCATAGTATTGATCTCCGAGGAATTCCTTGTACGTTATTCCATCGCGGAGCTTCACCAGGCACTTGGTCAAGTCTTTAAACAGGAGATCCTTGGTTTCATATGCAAACATATTGAAATCCTTATTCTTGATTCCTTTTGCTCCAAACAGTCTCTGAAATAAAGGCACAATGAGAAGAGAAGTAGAAAGCTGGCAGGATTCAGCTCATGCAAGCTTAACTCTTGGTTCTGGTTCTTCACCATCATCCTGGGGAGCCCCAAGCCAGGCTCCAGAAATTTAGGAGTGAATTTTCTGTCCATGTGCTTAGAGGAGGGATCTGTCACGGGAGGGCACATTTTTTCCCCCCATTTTATCATGCAGAACCCATCAGCAGGTGCTGCCAGCAGGTGCTGTGCCTTAGCCATGAGGTGGGAGCAAAAGGAACTGACTTCCCAAGGGCCTCTCAGCAGAGCCCGGATGGAGCAAATATTAACATTTGCAGTGACAAACAGAGGTGGTTTAACCCACCTATGTAGGCCCCAGTGGCTGTAGGACTGTGTGTGTGCGGGGGGGCTGCTGTAGGGGCTGAGCCTGACTCAGCTGTGGCAGAGATCGGGCACCCCAGAGGAGTTTCTGAGACACACCAGCAAGAGCAGAGCCCAGAAAGGAGGTGATAAATTCATGTCACACAATTATAGTGTGACAGCAGCAGCTACTATGATCCAGCTATTCCCTGAAGTTGTATTTGCTAAGGTGGCAGAGGAGAAAGAATGGTTTGGGAGGGATGGAGGAAGGGCAAGGACAAGGGACAAGGCTGTCGCCCCATACCAGGTAAAATTTTCCACGTTACTCTGACCTGGGGAAAATCAGAGCATAAAGGCAACCCCAGGGCATTTCTCCCACTCTCAGCACTACAAACCTCTTGTTTCTCCAGCATCTCACAGACTTGTTTTGCTTTCTCAGGACGTGTCACCACGGCGTGTGTGGGAACTTTGGCCAGGTTGCACCTCCTGTAGTCCATGACGTTTGCCCGTTGCCCATCAGTGCACAGCAACTCAAATTGGTCCATTTTCAGATCTTTGGCCCAGCTTTCTTTACTTTTGCCTTTACAGAGAAGGGGTTTGGAGATTCAGAGGTCTTGTGTAGCAGGAGAACATCAGCCTCACAACATCTGAGTAATAAGGCAGAAGGGGAAGGCAGCCCTGACACGAGCTGTGCAATAATCACGTACCATCAGTGTTCTCCTCGACGATGGAATGCTTAATAAAGGCCACATCCCCCTGCTCCACCAGACACCTGGGAAGTAGAAAGAGGCCAGTGATGTGTGTGCTTGAATCCTGGCCCTTTCCTACAGATTTCATTTACACCTGTGTCTTATTTTGTACAATTAATCTCTGAGGACAGCCAGGTCTAGGAGTCCTGCCATGAATATTTTAAAGGTATCTGAAACGCTTTACACTCCTTATCTCTATTAAAAGTGGAGCATTGCTGCCATTGTAGAAGGTCTTGTGTCTCTCCTGGTTTGCCTGGGGCATCAGGACAACAGTTTTACAGAATTCACAAATTTTGCATCATTTTTCAGGAAGCAAAGACAAAACATGTCACTTATGTATAATATTACAGACATTGTGGTGGAGCGGAGAAAAAGAGGAGGTCAGCAAATTAGTGTCAACATGAGGCTGTGCTCCAGCTGTGATCTACCCATAACCCCTGGGATTAGCTAGAGGCAGCCTGAGTGTTCCCAGCACTCACCGCAAAGCTCCAGTGTATCCATAGTACTGCTCGTGGCTGCTGGCGACACACTTCTCCGGAGGGACCCCCCCAGAGCCCTTGCAGAGCTGGCAGAGGCGGGAGGTGGGAGGAGATCCGGGAGCACAGCCCTGGCTGAAGTATTCATCTGAAGGCAGAAATAGGGAAAATTCACTTTTCCTCCCCTGGAAAGTTAGATTTTGTTTTAATAACCTGAGTTAAATGCCCTGACTTTGTGTTACTGGTCAATGAGGAGATGGAAATCACGTGCATCTGGTTTTCACTGTGAAACTTGTGTCTTGTTATTATTGATAATTATTATTATTGTTGCCCAGAGAAGCTGTGGCTGCCCCATCCCTGGAAGTGTCCAAGGCCAGGTTGGATGGGGCTTGGAGCAAACTGGGCTAGTGGAAGGTGTCCCTGCCCATGGCAGGGGGTGGGACTGGATGTGCTTTAAGGTCTCTTCCAACCCAAACCATTCTGTGATTCTGTGATTCTGCAAGGAAGTAGGGCCTAAGTCTTAAGTGCAATAGGCACTATCTTGGTGTAAAAAGAAGAATG